AAACCATTCTGTGTTCCTTTGTTCTGTTCAAACAACTGCCTCTTGGTCTATGCACAGGTCTCTCATGAGCACAATGAAGTGTTCCAGAATACTCATTCTCCGCAATGCTGTCCATAGTTTGTCATGATCATGGAGCTAAAGAATTATTCAGGTTTCCTGCAATCAATGCCTTTCAGGAACACATTTATACAAACTGGGAGTCTACCTCAGGAATTGTTGAGTATTGGGTAGATGGGAAACCCAGGATAAGGAAGAGCCTGAAGAAGGGATACACTGTGGGATCAGAGGCAAACATCATCCTTGGGCAGGAGCAGGATTCCTTTGGTGGAGAATTTTATGTAAACCAGTCTTTGGTGGGAGACATTAGAGATGTGGGACTTTGAAATGTAGAGCTTAACACTGTTCTGGTGGGACCATCAGCCATGCTGTCACGGGCTGGCAAGTGCTGATATTAGACATGCATGGTGAAGTGTTCATCCAGCACCAGCTGTGGTCCTGAGGCCTTGTTGTGGATCCTGGAGGTACCCTTTCCTAGCAATTATATCTGGCTTGGTCCACATTTCTGGCTCTGGAATTTCTTCCCTTCACCTCCCATATACATTGCAGGTCATGGGTGGTGCTAACAGTTTGTGCTAGACGACAAGCCTAAGGAGTCCTGGTATGGTGCTGCAGGATCAGCACTCGACTGCTAATCACAAGGTTGGCGGTTCAAACCCACCAGATGCTTCTTAGAAACCCTATACAGGGTCGCTATGAGTCAGAACTAATTTAATGGCACTTAACAACAACTAGCTTAAAGACTGACAGTTCAAACACACCAGGAGTGTCATGGAAGACAGGCCTTGTGGTCTGCTTTCGTAAATATTACAGCCAAGAAAACCCTCTGTTGTTGATCAGTGCCATGGAGTCAGTTCCAAGGAGCAGCTACTTATCCTACAGCTTATCCCTACAGAGCAGTTTACTCTTTAACATAAGGGATCTCCATGAGTAAGGATTGACTCACTGGCAACCTTTTAAAAAAATGGCAAAATATATGATTTTTATGAAAAAGTACACTTAAACATGCACAATGCAAGCCTGCTCTGTGCACATAACCCCTTGATTCCCTGTCTTGTCTTCCAAATCCATTGCTGTTAAATCGATTCTGACTCATAACAGCCCAATAGGACAGAGTAGAACTGCCCCACACGGTTTCTAAGGCTGTCATCTTTACAGAACTAGACTGCTGGATCTTTACCCCCTGGAGCTGCTGGGGAGTCTGAACTGCCAACCTTTCGTAGACAGTCAAACACTTAATGATGGGGCTACCAGATCTCCTTTACTTTCTCCAGAGGACTCAGAATTCCAGTTTGCTGTTTTTGTTTTTAAATCTTGAAGAATCTTAGAGAGAACCCTTTAGTCTTATGTAACAAATGAGAAAGCAGACCCAGAAAGCAAAAGTGATTTAAAAAAAAAAAAATGTTTTATTGTGAATTATGTGATAGTGTACAAGGGAGAACGTTAGCTTTACATTCTTCCTATTATATATCGTTTCATTGCCATGGTTACAATCCCCTCCATGCATCATCAACAAACCAAAGGGTATACCCTGCAAACCTGCCCCCTGGTCATCAGCACACAGCTCCTCTCCCTCT